AGATCCAGGTCAACGAATCCCAAGAGAATCCTGAATTTCAGCTGAAGGCCTTAGAAATACCCAATTATAACCACTTAACATTAAGGTTTTCACACAAAAGCATAAGCAACTACCAACTTATGGTCCAACATACACTCCTTGCTTATAATACCAAATGCCAACCCAACACATAGCTTTATACATCCCAAGAATACGGCCCTTACTCGCATTGCTAAGTTACTCGTGCCACATCAAACCACTTGCGCACACCAGTGCTGACATGTCTTCACCAACAACCACAACCAATAGACTCAAACTGAGAATCCACCCTAACTTAGGAGGTCACAAGCCTACCCACTCCTCCGAACTCGGAAATCTGAAGGGCAAGATCCTTGCCACCAATAACGGCAATCTAATCTGACAATCTACCACTTAAATTCCATATGCAATTTCAAACCGACCATATCAACCGCTTCCTCCCTATGTCTCGAGGCCCAAGGCGTTACCTCTAACAAAACCCTTGAGACTTCCAATCAACATACTCATCTAGGTCTGAACTACTCAACCAACATCGATTTATCTACAAGGCATGAACAGACACATCACCCATCCTTGCCTGAGTAACCCAACACGAAAGATCGACGTATACGGAACGAGTGCCTCGATCCATGGTATCCAACCATGCTATCTTCCCTGACCAGCCCTTATATTCCCTGAAATTTTCCTTAAATCGAGTATGGATCATGTGCTTTCAGTAGTACGGACCCAATACTTCCTTCCACACTTTTCTATACTTTACTCAAGAATTATCTCGGGTCCTCTACGACCTAGTCACACAATATTCCTGAAACCTGCTCAACAACGAAACAACAACACTAAAGGACTCCTTAGGCTATCCTAGGGTTCTATACTTCTCTACCATCAGGTGCTGAAAAACTTCTCACAATGTCAATTAAATATTCCATGATTATAATCACATGAGACAATGCTTATATAATCCTTTGAATAACAAACTCATCCCTAAAACGGTTGGACTCAGACAAGAGCTGTGCAGCAGGGTCAAATCCATCATGATGAGATTATTTAACTGTTTTCACATGTGACTTGACATATTCACTTAATGGTTAACTTTAATCACTCATGAGTTCTATAAAGAGTAAAGCACGCAACATTTGTGCAAAGGAGCCGACTGACACTAAAATGCAATAAGATCTGACAGATCCTTCTATGAAATCCTCTATCTCAGGCTCCCAGCATCTCGCGCGCATCTTCGCTCTGCCCTCACTATCTTAAGAGTGGCTAATCCTTCCTCATGCCGACCTGCTATGAACCGCACCCAAATCAGGGAAACCACAACTACCTCATCTAATAACACGACTGGCCGGCTGACCCCACACAACTCATCCATGATACTTCCACCAACCCTGGAACACTCATGTATGCTAGCCATACATAACATTGGACCCTATAGACATTCAAATATTGGATCCTACCCTAAGACCTTCATCAAACAAGAACAGGAAATAAGGCCAAACTAAACATTCTTAGGCTATATAATCTTAGTTATGTACGACTATGATACATACACTAAGCAACTGCAATAATGATGTCAATTTCATAAAAGAAAGGCCATGGGATATCAGGCATCATATAATCAGGCAATTATATCATTCAATTCCTGAAGATCCCTAGCCTATCACTAGCATGTTGTTCTAACATATCACAATATCAAATAACAGTATGGTATTTTGGGGTCTACTTACTAGCTCCGGCTGATCGTACACGTCGCATCCTCCACAAGTGTTTTGAAAACCATTTGAAAAGTTTATTTTGAAAATCTTTTCCTTAGTTTGAGACTGGATTCACATGAGTGTTCCTCCAATTCATTCAAACCAAGGCTCTGATACCAACTTGTAACATCCATAAATTTTCATAGAATATAAGCTTTTCAAACCACCCCTTTTTCTATAGAAGTGTTTACAAAAACTGCTATTTCCAAAACATTATTTAAAATCAGAATCTCTTTCGACATAGTTTTCAAAACATTGACATTATCAGAGTTTCCCATAAATCATAAGTCCAAATCGCGAGGATTTATAATATATTAATAAATCATTTATTAACCTATTTCTCCAAAACTCATCCTATCATATTGGTATGGTGAAGGCAACCCAAAAGGACCATGCTACTATCGGGTCAAGTATATACCAATTATAGTTATGGCCTTAAACACCTAATCCATTAGTCTCTCACTTGGATAAGTCTAAAAACTATAACTGCAAGTACGACTTCAAAATCCGATTAGAAAACGTAGCTCTCAAAAGTCATTGTCGAACTCTGACCTAGTCAATGACGCGCCCTTTAGATAAGGGATCATATAATCCACTGTTCTACAAGATATCATTTGGACAATGACATGGAACATAATCATTATCAATGTCCAACAGTTTTTTTTCAGACTTCTGATTTGTTTGACATAGAACTTAATTGAACACATCAATTAAGTCCTGACCAAGACCGACACATAAGTCAACACAAAATCATCGACGGGCCTAAGATATCACTTTTACCCTCATAGGATAAAAGGAATAGATAAACTTTGACTTATATTCTTGCACTATTTACTCATAAAATCATGAACAACAACACGTTTTATAACACCAAGTTACTGATGCATTTACGCATTATCAATGCACAACCAACTCGTAAACAACAACTCATATATCTCGGTCTAAAGATTATACGATATTATCGTCTCACAATCACTCGTGATAAATTCCATGAAGTGATTCACATGAGCGTGGGTTTAATCTAATACTCAAATCTTATTTCAAGAGTACTCATGAACGTTGCAGCAAACCTTTGCTATGTCTAAACACTTAAGCAATCTACAAACCAATTCATGATAGTCTAACCTCATAACATACTCCCATTGTATGATTGACTATGGATAATCTGAACAATCTAATTATTTTGGAAGTAAAACATGTAAAAGTGAAACTGTAGTAAACAATTGACAAAAGATAGTAAACTTTACTCATAAATAATTCTCCATTAAATAAACATCAAATCTCAATTACATTTATCTATTACAAGTCTTGAAGATATATCTAATCACTAAAACTAATATCATCCTCCAGACCAATGCTCCTCGCATGCTATAAGTGCTTAACCCTGATCAGACCCTTCGTGAGGGGATCTTTTGGGTTCTCCTCTGACGATACCCTCTTGACTACGAGGAGTCCCTCTTCTACCTGATGTCTGATGAAGTGGTATTTTCTGTCAATATGTTTGGATCTACCATGATCCCAAGGTTCCTTGGTTAAGGCAACCGCTCCTTCATTATCATAGAAAATCTCCATAGGCTCATTTATGGCTAGTACAACTCCAAGGTCTCCAACAAAGTTCTTCAACCATATTGCCTCCTTCGACGCTTCGCTCGCTTCTATGTACTCTAATTCGCACGTTAAATCAGCCACAATCACCTGCTTGGAACTTTTCCAAGTAACTGCTCCTCTAATTAGGGTAAATACTCAGCCCGGATGAGATCATAAGTTAACTATGTCAGTCCAAAAGCTGGTGTCACTATACCTTGTCACTCTCAAGTCATCACTCCCACCAAGTGTAAGGACCCAGTCCTTAGTCCTTCGTAGGTACTTAAGAATGTTCTTCACTGCAGTCCAGTAAGCTCTACCTAGGTTCCTTGATATTGGCTAACCATGCTCGATGCAAAAGCCACATCATGGCGAGTACATGTCATAGCGTACCTGATCGAGCCAACCATGGAAGTATATGGCACTCGACTTATTTCTGCTATCGCGGCATTTGTACTCGGACTCTGAGTCTTACTTAGCTTGGTATTGCTTTTGATTGGCAGTTACCCTTTCTTAGAATTCTCCATGCTAAAGCATTTTAGTACCTTGTCCAAGTAAGTACCTTGACTAAGTACTATTAGTCTCCTACTTCTATTTCTCAATATCCTTAGCCCTAGAATATAAGCAGCTTCTCCTAGATCCTTCATAGCAAAACACTTCCCAAGCTAGGACTTAACCTACTGCAAGGTCGGGATGTCGTTTCTTATGAGTAGTATGTCATCAACATACAAACCTAGAAAGCTAACTATACTCTCACTAAGCTTGACATACACACATGAATCATCCTTGCTTCTCGAAAATCCAAACTCTTTGGCTTTCTCATCGAAATAAAGATTCCATCTGCGAGATGCTTGTTTTAATCCATAAATGGATTTCTCAAGCTTACACACTCTATTGGGGTATTTAGCATCTATAAAAGCTTCTGGCTGATATATGTAAACATTTTTAACCAGCTTCCCATTAAGGAAAGCGGTTTTGACATTCATTTGCCAAATTTCAAAATCATGAAATGCAACGATAGCTAACATAACCCTAAACACTACTAGAAAAACAACCTTTTATGACGCGAATTGCGTGTCGTAAAACGTTCAGACGACGTGCAAATGTGTGTCAATGAAGGACATGTCATAACGAGAGACGACATGCTTTTGCACATCGTCTATACACGACACGCATTTACGATGCGCATTTATGACATGCATTTACGATGCACATTTACAATGCGCAATGCGTATCAAGGAAGCCCCTGTCATAAAGGAAGACGACACGCATTTGTGTGTCGTAACCTTACGACGTGCATTTACGACTCGCATTGTATATCATTAAAGCCCCTGTCAAGAAAGCCTATGTCATAAATGAAGATGACACACATTTTTGCGTATCGTAATTTTAAATGTTTTAAAAAAATATTATTTATAGATTTACTAATTTTCAAATTAAATTTGCATTTAATGTCTCATAATAGAAAATAAAATATCATATACAATTCATACAATCCATTGCATAAAATTTAATGTCAAACAAATAATCATTCCATGAAAAAATAAAACAAATCAATAGAAGTTGTAATAGAATTTTACAAACTACTTATATACAAGAAATATGAAAAACTTCAAATCCCTGAGATTAATAGCTCTAACAGAAGCTTCACGTGAGATACATGCAGTTGGACCAGTAAGCAAGGATGTTCCCGAATCCACAATGGCAGCACAAGAACACGTACACGATATCTTCTGCTACTGTTGAAGGTTGCCATGATAACTGTTAAGATTTAAGCATAACAAGAAACCAATCAGTGACTATAAGAAGTTAGATAGTGACAAATCCAACTTCTCAAAATGATCACAATGATAAATAAAAAAAGGCACCAAAGGTCTCCCTATCTCAACACCCTTTGAAGCTGAAATTCATATGTGGGAACCATTAATCACGATAGAAGCCGTAGAAGAAGTTAGATAGAGACAAATCCAACTTCTCAAACTTATCAGCAAACCCCATATAGGACTTCGTCTTAATAATCTCATCTTAACGAATTATAGCCTTTCTCAAAATCAACCTTAAAAACCAAAAGCTTATGATGACACTCCTTGGCCCAACCTATAATCATCCCGTTTAGCATTTGGAACATCCCTAATTACAACAAAATAATGTACCTTACTAGAGTAGCAGCCAAACTTTCGGCATTTGGAACATCTAAATTGGTGGTTAGTTCATCAACTGCAAGTATTCCACAGCGAAGCAAGCACCTGAGATCAATTGAAAATGGATTTGTGAACTTCCTTCAATCCAAAATACAAAGGGAATGGACAATTATAGATGATGGCACATCTGTTGACCTGCATTGCACCTTCCTCGCATTTCAAGCTCAGCATCACCAGCTTGCATAACAACCTGAACTTACAAGCAACCATAAACATTAGGGTGCGGTTAAAATGTAAGATATAGCAACATACTTTCATTTAATTTTATGTTTAGAAAAGTTACCAATTTACCTCGTACCTATAAGACCTAGTAGCACCACATTCAACATCTGAATGGATACTAATGTAATCAATATCCTACCCTCTATATGTTTTCTGCCATAGTTCTCTTAAAAGGGGCTGAACATGGAAGGTAACATCAACATGGGTTCTAGACAAAGTCGTTTTCTTGGAGGTGTTGTAGCAACCTTAGCAAGTGTTATCATGTTCATTGATGAAGGGCTTACTAGTAATTTTAGCTGCTGTAGGAGGGAGTGTAAGAGTTTAAGAGGAGGCAAACAACAACAACCATATAAGTTACAAAATCTACAACAATAAATATGGAGAGAGAGAGAGAGGTATCGGGGTATGCCAAATTCTATGTCTACTGATCTCATCACTGATGAGGTCCACTCGACAATCTTTATATGTTTTAATCCATTTCATATGTCCTAATTCTGCTTCATCAAGTTCTGCTACCAACACCAATTTGAAAAGGCCTTGAACTTCAGACACTTTGCTACAACCTTGATACATAAATTTCCTCAATCTAAAGCGATGTGATTAGAATTAACTTATTTTTTTTAAATGAGGTTTGAGCTTATCTGAATGAGGTAATTAAAGCATTTAACTTCATTTTTACTATAAATCATGTTCTTCATGTATAGTTACAAAAATGCTACTGGTATACAAAGCTATTTCGTACGGTGGAATCAAGGAAGGAATGTAATCATACTATCCATTGTGAGGCACGTGAGATGAAGAAAGAGATCAATTATGTTTTGGAATGTATTTTTTTACTGCCAGAAATAGTTGTAGTTTCCTTATAATTGACATGGTGTTATATTGTGTTTTCAAATAACATCATTGCATTTTATACCATTCAATTGTAGTTAATGTCAATTCCTTTAGGTTGTATATATGCTGAGTAAATTACTTATTTTGTCCATGTGCTTAGCAATTTTTTTCGTTAACAGACAACGAGTTCATTGCGTTATCTTCTTTGGCTAAAACACTGAGAGTATAGGATATGCCAAATCTTTTATTTATTTTTTTCAAAGTATGTCCCTGTGCAGAAAAGGATTACAAAAGTAGTCTAAAAATAATTACATAATTGGTTTTTATGGCACAAAAACATTACAAAATTGGTTACTGGTCACTATGCAGAAAAAAGATTACATAATTGGTCCCTGTGGTAGAAATGAATTACAAAATTGGTCTATGTTGCAGAAAAAGATCGCATAATTAGTCCTTGTGGCAAGAAAAACTCATGTAATTGGATTGACTAGTAGAAAAACAATATACTAATGGTCCCGGTCGAGAAAATAATATTAGAATATTGTACTTAGGTGGATTTTCAAGTCATAGTTGAAATGATGAGTCTAACCTCCATCTAATGTATTATAAAGAATCACATGTGCACTTTTTTTTAAAGTTCATTTCAACATCCTAGAAGAAAGAAGAAGGGTATAAATGGAAATTTATAAACTATCGAATTTTCACATCTTAGGTTTCTTGAAAAATTAGGAATATTTTGATCAATAAAAGGAAGAGTCCCACAAAGAAGAGCATACAAGGTAACACTACACCTTCATACATATACTCAGGCATTGCATTAAACTGATTAATCGAACGATGAATGGAAAACGACTACCTGTTTAACCAAACAACAAGCGGAAATGTGATTATGACCAATCAATTAAACAAAACTTTAACTAGTTGTGGTTTTGTTCACCAATAAACAAAACCTAAACTCAATACCTTAAACCATAATCGAAACAAATTATTCGTCACCTTAACTTTGCGCGGGTAAACGGTTAGTTTATATATATATATATATATATATATATATATATATATATATATATATATATATATATATATATATATATATATATATATATATATATATATATATATATATATATATATATATATATCATTTGTTTTCAACTTTCTTTTATTATCAGAAAATAAACTCTATCTACCGGTAAACCTAAACCCACCACCTTCCCCTCCTGTCTGAAGAATCAGCACCACCATCTTTATTCTCCACCATTGGCGCCGCCTTTATTCTCCACAATGTCGCTTTCAACCTCCACATTGCCGCCTCTATTCAGACATTATTGTGCCACCTTCAACATCAATCGAAGCTGCATATCTTTTGCCACATAGATGCTACAACATCTATGATATAACTTATGGATTTATCATAGTTTGTTCCTGCTACTACAACATATTAATTTGTTTAATTTATCATGTAATTCACTCGATTACTATTAAATCTGTAATATTGTTATTTCGATAGGTGGTGAGTATATCAGGTTTCATTTTAATAGGGGTGGCCTACGCGGGTGGGTGTCCTAAACAGGTTAGGAAAGTAGTATTTGTAAAAACCATCTTTTTTAAAAAGTAAAAAGTATTATTTGTTATCTAATTAATATCTAACAAGAAGTGGTATTTTGTGGAAATCCCATTCTAAAATAGTACATTTTAGCAAATGAGAACGAAAAAACCTCTCAACGCATCTTTGTTGGGAAACAAGAAACCCCAAACTGTTTTCCTGCATCCCAAATAAGATGGAGAGACACCAAAACGATAAGGACCAATCCTCACGCTTTCCCCTCGCATGTGGAGGAGAACTAACAGATTCATAAACGATCAACAGCGAAATATAATAAAGAAACCACCGTAGTGAATAGATCTTTGGCTACTGAGAGTATATCTCCGAACTAATCCAAGGTAAATCATGGTTAATTATATTTAATTTCTGATAATTCTAATTTCTAACGTTGTTTAGTGATAACTTCTTGTTTATTTGTGGTGTTCAAGAAATGACCATCACCACCGACCAATCCAATGACAAGGAACCACAATACCCACCTCCGATGAACACCGATCCACCACCTCACGTGAACCACCATTACAACCGTGAACAACCACCTTTTTTTCCTCTTCCACCTCCTTTCCATGAGTTTCGAAGTTACAAAGAAATTTTGATTTGCCTTTCCAACCTCTTCTTCCACCTTCGTCGCAATCACCACAACGCCTCCTGCCCCGGCTGTGATGATGAATCTCCTCTACCTCCAAATCCAAATGCTAACGGCCACATTGAACAACCACCTGAAATCTTTGATTCTTACCTCGCAGAGTACCACCTTCTGGCATCACCACCGCAACCTTTCTACCATGTCTCTCCGGAGAGCAGCTGCCACCACAGCCTTCACATTCCTCCGATTATCCGTCCACCCACAAACTATTTGGACAATAAACCCACATTTCGGATCTATACCAAGGCAAAAACTGATTACTCTCTCACTATACGTAATGGAAAAGTGATTCTTGCTCCAACTAATTCTTCTGATCTTCACCAGGTTTCTTGTTTTCCGTTTCTGATTGTATATGATCTTGCTCTTTCTTCAAACTGTTTCACCAACACCAATTTGTTTGACATCTAAACAGCATTGGATCAAAGATGAGAAATTTGGTAGGAGCATTAAGGATGAAAAGGGTAATCCCGCTTTTGCCTTGGTCAACAAAGCCACTGGTGAAGCTATGAAATTTTCAATCGGTGTAACTTATCCGGTATGCCATTCTACTTTTGTCGGCTAAAAATTGAAAAAAATAACTTTTATCATGTTTTGAATGAAAGTGATTGATTATGGTTAGTGTAATAATATATATAAACTTTAAATCACTTATCACGTGTGTGTGTGTGTACTTGTAAATTATTTCTCAGGTTCAGCTGAAGAAATACAACCCTAATGAAGTCGACATGAGTGTTCTTTGGAGTGAGGGCAATGACTTGGGTGATGGTTATAGGTCATTTAGGACAGTCACCAATATTCATCTTCATCTAGATGCATGTAAGGGTGTTAAAGAACATGGTGGTGTTCATGACGGCACTGAAATTATTTTGTGGGAATGGAATGATGGCGATAACCAAAAGTGGATCATATTCCCGTATTGTAAGTAGTCCTTTGCGCAAATTTTAGTCAATAATATTCTTCCATAGTTATCAATTTATTTATTTATTTGTTTGGTAAATTGCACTTAAAAAGAAAAGGGTTTTGTTATAATCTTGTAATGAAATAAGGGATTGTTATATAAACTCTAGTAATGGTTCGGTTGAAAAGTTAACTGGACATTGAAATTGTCTCTGAATTGTTAAAGAATCTTACATTACAATTAAAAAGATTGAAACCATTTGGTTCTTTGATCTAGCAAACAATCTTTATGATAAAAAAATGCATGCTCTCTTGTCAACTTTTACTTTATTTTGTAATGCCGATTTGTTTATCAACTTATGCAATTGGTCCTTAACCCCTGCTTTATGTTATGGTTTTGCGCAGGATTGCGTGTTAGTGTGGAGTTTAATATTCGACCGTGAGCATGCTATGTTCCATGGCACTCGGCGTTCATGTATTTTTCGAATGATCACATGTTTAAGTACCTATGGAGAGTGTTGTTTATATATCTCCATTTGGATATTTTTATATGTTATTTCGGGCCTCCGTAACGTATTAAACTTGTTAGATTTTAATGGATTGACACATATAATCCTATTTTAAAATCCATTAAACTTTACAAATTCAATGAAACATCATATTTTAATAATTAAAAGTTTTGTTTTCTATTGAAGAATTTAATGGTTATTAAACTTCATATCATTGAATACTAACACGCCTTACCATAATTATAAGACTCCAAAAATATATTGACAAAGTATATTCAAGGGTACCCAAGTTGTTAGTAATTTATTTGTTAAAAGTCTTAAGTTATGAAATTATGTTTATAAGTGGTATATTTTCGACATGAAAAATGTATAAATGGATGTTAATCTACCAAGAATTGACTTTAGATGTAATTGTAATATATCATAATGATTATAGATTTCACATAACCAGTCATAATGGTTGTGCCATTATTTAGCAAAGCTTGAAGTATGATGCTTAAATAGGTAATTTCGAATATATGGGCCTCAACGTACAAAATTTTAAGATAATGTTATAGAAGGCATGAAATGTATTGAAAGAGCATTGTTTTATGTAAGAAATATGTTTAAATCACAATCAGCTAGAGTGGAATGTCGATAAATTGGTTGGTATGGACATTTACCAAAGTACAACGCCAGTTTATTTTTAGTGAAAATATAAGTTTTATTTGTACTTTAAAGACGTTGAATGATGGGAATTATTTAAAAAAACAGTTGAATGGAATGTCATAATTATAAATTCATAAAATAGGGTTTAGTATGTCAGTACCAGTGGTTATTTATCAAAGAATTTGGAAAAAGAATTATGCATGGGATTTTGGGCAAGTTAGGGCCAATATATACGTGAGATGACCCGGATTTCGTGTTAATTTTCCGTTAAGTTTCCTTCATAAACTAACATTTTCCTTGATTTAAAGTCGATTTGTGGGGGCTTAAGTGTAATAAAATAGGGCTTAAGTTGGTTTTGGGGTCATTTTGTGACACTTTAAGGGCCAAATATGTAATTTAGAGACTATTTAAAGAAGGCTAACCCTAAAATGCGGGTTTGTAATCCTATTTGCAGCCAACAACTCAAGTTAAAGAGGCCTTTTAGAGAGTTGTTTTTTTTTCTTTGAAGTTTGGAAATCCTAAATGGGTGTTTCGGTGAAATTCGTGGTCTTGTGTAGGCATTCTTCCTCATCATTATTCCTTGAGTGATTTCTAGTGTTCAAGAAGTATGAACTTCATCCATAATTTTCATTTCAATACAAATCATGTAGATGTTAGTTTATGGTTAAGTAAGATGTTTTTTTGGTAAATTGTGTTTTACCTTCGAGCTCAGTCGATCAATACATATCACTCACTACTAGAAAACTAGGTGATTACCTACGGCAGTATTCGTAGGAGATTTCTAGGAACAAGGCGTTACCTACAGAATTCCTACAAAAAACGGGTTGTAGGAAAAACCCTCGTGGGTAATTTTTTCCTACGAATCACTTACAAACTTTCCGATGCCTTTCCTACGAAATTTTCTATAGGAAATTTACCTACAAAATACTTACGAAACTCTTTTACTACGGATTACCTACGGGTTTATTTTCCTACAGAATACCTACAAACTTTATTTACTACAGAATACCTACGGAGTATTTTCCAACAGAATGCCTACAAAGTTTATTTACTACAGAGGACGTACATATTATTTTCCTACAGAATACCTATCACCTCCTTTTTCCTACAGAATACCTACGAACTGTATTGTACTCTATTTCCTACAGAATACCTACAAAATATTATTTTTTGACATCTTTTATTGAATACAATTATGTCACAAACTTGTTGCTATATTAAATTTATAATTTAAAAAAATATCCAAATTTTTTGCTCAAAAGTAACACAAAAATAACCAAAAAAGATAATTAAAAAAATAGTCAAAATACTATTACATTCATTAACATTAAAATAGTCATTAACATAACATTCATACATTCAAATACACAAAATACCATTACAATGCCATGACAAAAACTAAGAATTAGTCAATAACATAACAATCATCAAGTGTTTTAAAAAACAATATTAAGAACTACTTAGTGGATTACCGGACGGGTTGAGTTGTCTCATAAAAGGACGCCAATTGTTGTTGCATTTGCAATTCCATTTCATTTCACATTTGTTTCATTTGCAAATACATTTGACTTTACCTTTGATCCATGGCTTGTTGCATGTTTAACACTTGTTGTCGCAACTCATTTACCTAAAAACGGCATGACAAACACATCGAGTTAGTAAATGTAATTCAACTTTAAAACATGATAGCAATGTACTTTAATTTTAATTCATTTTAAGAACATACTATCCATAATAGCAATGTACTTTGCTTTAAAAATCCAAAAATACTTTATTAATAAAATTGGCTCATTATTTACGTAAAAGTCGTTAACTGTATACTACCTGAAAGCAACAAACCAACAACAAGCAAGAATGTGTCCCCATGAACTACGTACAATTTCCAAACACCGAGTCTTAGACTTCAGCAAGCTTACCACATCTTCCAAGTGCCAGCTTCCAAAAGCATTCTGCTTTCCTGCGTATAGCATTAGTAAGCTTCTTTAACATGAAAAACCAAGTTTGTTTGCTAATTATTTAATATTGGTCCTAAGAAGATTAAAAAAACCCATTATATACGAAATATGAAATAATTATTTAATATAAATAAATGAAAATAATCTATTTAAAATGATTATGATCAAAATACATGTAATTCCACATGAAGCATGTTTCTAATAATTGTTAAAACTAATCTATTCAACCTTGTTTCAATGCTTACAAGGCACAAATAGAAATAGATTACAACAGAAGTTATAAACACACATATAAACCAACTCCATTTGAAATTATAACAGAAGTTTGGGGTTTGACTATCAAGGTCATTAGATTGGATTTGAATGCATATCTATAATTTCAAACTTTCTTAATGGTTCGAACTAACTTAGGCTATCTTCTATTAATTTACCTTACAATAACAAAGCTGAGGATGGTGGCTGACTGACAAAGGTAGGTTTACAATGGTGGCTGATAGTGGTGGGTGATCGGATACGGATCCTGGATGACGATGGTGGACGACCGTGTAATCTGCAAGGCTGACAACGATGGTGAGGGTTTCCAGCGAGCTTCGTCTTCTTAAATCGATGGTGGCGGTGACGAGGTGAACCGGTTAGGGTTTCCAACGAGGTTTAGCTTTGGTGGAGCGGTGGCGTTGAAATAGACCGATGGTGGATGCTGAATCGATGATGGCGATGTCCGATGAGAAAGTTGGAGAAGGTAGAGGGGCGACATGAGATATAGTGAAGAGGAATCGAAAGCAGTGGGGATGGCGTTGATCGATTCCGAAAAGCACAGTGGAATCCAAATAAGGTGTAGGGAGATCAGAGAAATCGGGAGTAGGCGAGATGGAGGAGAATAGCAACAGGAGTAGGACGATGTCTTTGGCGGCGACCAACTCCGGCAGCGAGAACAGATCCGGCATGGCCGATTTCGTCTACCATTTGGAAGGAAATTAGATCAGGCGGGATATTAGAAATTTTTAACCTAATGAAATCCCATTGCAATGGGTTTTATGAATTTTGGTCCGAAGGAAATGGGTAGGTTATCCAAAAAGTAGGAAATTCGTAGGTAATCAAAATATTAAGTTAATTGAAAAACAAAATATGAATTCAGATAGCTTTTTGTTTTATTTTTATTTTTTTCAGATAGCAATTGCTTTTTGAAAAAGCTATCTGAATTCATATTTTGTTTTCAAAGCTATCTGATAGCAATTGCTTTTCAAAATAAAATTGAAAAATGTTTTATTTTCAAAGGTCAATTGCTTTGTTTTTCAATTAACTTAATATTAAGTTAATTGAAAAACAAAATATTAAGGTATTTACTTACAGATTGCCTTTATCTGTAGGTAATCCTTAGGTAATCAAAATATTTACGTTTCGTTTTATTTTTTTCACAAGTTAATTATACTTTGATTGCTTTGTTTTAACCAATTTATACATAACATAAACTTACAAATAAACGTATGCATCATTAGAAAAACAAAATATGAATTCAGATAGCTTTTTGTTTATTCTGTATATATAGTAATGGTTTCTAACGAGGCATACGTTTGTATGTAAGTTTATGTTATGTATAAATCGGTCAAAACAAAGCAATCAAAGTATAATTAAGTTGTGAAAAAAATAAAACGAAAAAAACGACATTTGATCCTTGAAAAATAGAAAAATAGAAAAAAAAGACCGTAGGTAATCTGTAGGTAAATAGATACGAATTGCCTACAAATAAAGGTAATCTATAGGTAATCCGTAGGTATTTACCTACGGATTACATATGGTAATTTTTTATTTTTCAATTTTAAAAGGTCAAATATCATTTTTTTTTCGTTTCGTTTTTTTCACAACTTAATTATACTTGGATTGCTTTGTTTTAACCAATTTATACATAACATAAACTTACAAACAAACGTATACATCATTAGAAAAACTAAATATGAATTTAGATAACTTTTTGTTTATTTTGTATATAGTAATGGTTTCTAACGAGGCATACGTTTGTATGTAAGTTTATGTTATGTATAAATTGGTCAAAACAAAGCAATCAAAGTATAATTAAGTTGTGAAAAAAATAAAACGAAAAAAACAATATTTGATCTTTCAAAAATAGAAAATAAAAAAGACCGTAGATAATCTGTAGGTAAATACCTAAGGATTACCTATAGATAAAGGCAATCTGTAAGTAATTCGTAGGTATTTACCTACGCTATTTTTTTTTTTTTTCAATTTTCAAAGGTCAAATATCATTTTTTTTGTTTTGTTTTTTTCACAACTTAATTATACTTTGATTGTTTTGTTTTAACAAATGTATACATAACATAAACTTACAAACAAACGTATGCATCATTAGAAAAAACTAAATATGAATTTAGATAACTTTTTGTTTATTCTATATATAGTAATGGTTTCTAACGAAGTATACGTTTGTATGTAAGTTTATGTTCTGTATAAATCGGTTAAAACAAAGCAATTAAAGTATAATTAAGTTGTGAAAAAAATAAAACGAAAAAAACGACATTTGATCCTTG